CCGAAGAGGTGACATTTATACTGACATCTGGAGGGTAAGTGGTAGTGAGCCAGGCGAAGGGGGTCAAGGAATAGAGGGAAGAGTGTTTCTAGAGAAGGAACACCATGTAAGAATCCCAAAGTTTAGAAGAACGTGGCTCTTTCAAGGAATGCAAGGAGGACTATGTGGCTGTGATAGGGGACTCACAGTTGGAAAATTTTAGTTTAAAGTCAATGGTTATAAGTAGGTAATACATATGTTAAGCTATTGTTTCAGGAACTGCAGATAAGGCCCACCACTCCTGGGAGAGACAGCCGACCTCCTGGGGCACAAGTGGAGATATCTAGGCCCTTGTGTTCCACAGAGAGACAGACGACCACCAGGAACACAGGTAAAGACCACCACCCAGCGCAAGAATACTGCACTTTTTAAATCCAATGAACTTTTCCCTGAATTCCAAACCCCTTACCTACACTTTGTTCTCCTTATAAAAAGGGCCATTTTAAAATGAAATTTAAAGACGGTCAGTTAGGGTGTGAACCCACCGATGTCTCAGGTCACTGGCCATCTGAATAAAGTGCCCATAAAGATTCAATCTGTCTGTGCTTATTGGGTTCGGTATGTGACGGCACAAATGCGGGCTTTTCCAGTTTCAGCTGGAGCAGAGTGAGGAAGGGTGAGCAGGGAAGGGATAGATACTTTGCAGGCCAGGGAAGGGATGAAATAACTTAGGGAGAGAATATAGAGTGAAGAGAAAAGTTTCTGGGAATTCAGCCTGATAAACACCAGGAATGAAAACTGTAGGAGGTCATAGAAGACTAGAGAAGAGAGTTTCAAGGAGGAAAGAGTAGCCGATATTGGCCAGTGAGGCCAAGAACTGAACTAACATAAGGACTGGAATTTGGCAGATGGGAGGTCAGCATGGGAGACCTTTGAGGAGGAATCAATTGCACTGGGATGATGGAGGCAGAAACCAGAATGCATACATAGAGTTGAGGGGTGATTAAGAGGTGAGGAAAGCTCCCTGGCTGGCATAGCTCAGTGGATTGAGCACGGATGGGCCTGTGAACCAAGGGGTTGCCAGTTCGATTCCCAGTCTAGGGCACATGCCCGGGTTGCAGGCCAGGTCCCCAGTAAGGGGCACGTCAGAGGCAACCACACATGGATGTTTCTCTCCCTCTCTTTCTCCCTCCCTTCCCCTCTCTCTAAAAATAAATAAATGAAGTCTTTAAAAAAGAGATGAGGAAAGCCTTGGCCAGTGGCTCAGTTGGTTAGAGTGTCCTCCCAGTATGCCAAGCGCAGGTCTGATGCTCAGTCTGAGCACATACAGTAATCAACCAATGAGTGCATAAATAAGTGGAACAACAAATTGATGTTTCATCTTGACCAGTGTGGCTGAGTGGGTTGGGTGTCATCCCACAGACTGAAATATCGCCAGTTCAATTCCCAGTTTCCTTTCAGGGCACGTGCCTGGGGTGTGGGCCAGGTCCCTGGTTGGGGACTTGAAAGAGGCGACCGATTGCTGTTTTTCTCACACATCCATGTTTCTCTCTCTCTCTCTCTCTCCTTCCCTTCCCCTCTCTAAAAACGAACAAATAAAAGTGATGTTTCCCTCTCTCCCTTCCTCTCTCTAAAATCAATAAAAAACAAAATGTAAAGAGTTGGCCTGTTTGTCACCCAAAAAGCCTGCCTCCTAGTAGGCACTCAATAAATGTTATTGCACTAAACTAAACTAAACTAAACTGAGGGTGAGCTTGAAGATACAGGACAGAGGAGATGGGGCTGAGAGTATGAGTTATATCTTGAAAGGAGACAGGCGTGCTCATTCATTAAAATGAACTGGATAGAGGGAAGACAAAGGTGGACCAAGTGTGGAATGTAGGGCTTGTTGGCTGGAATGGGACAAAGACCTTTCCACAGATAATGGTATCAGGAGACACAGAACTTGTATGCTTTTATTCTCTTCAGAGGATTTCAGGTTTAGCTCTGACTCTAGTTTATGACTTTGTCTGGGAACAATATGTAACCTATTTACTATCTGACATGCACTTTTTAAGTTGCCGCTTTTACCTCTGTGGGCTGAGAATAAGGAAATGCAGCTTGTTACAATCATGTCTAAAGTAAAAGAATGTAGCTTGTGATGAACACTAATCAGCAAAGGAACCAGCATCTCCGGTGAGGAACAGCCACTTATCAGGCTCAGAGAGAAAATAACTTGCAATCGGTTTGGACACATTTTATTTTATTTATTTATTTTTAAAAAATATTTTATTTGTTTATTTTTCGAGAGAGGGGAAGGGAAGGAGAAAGAGTGGGAGAGAAGCATCAGTGTGTGGTTGCCTCTCATGAGTCCCCTGCTGGGAACTGGCCTGCAACCCAGGCATGTGCCCTGACTAGGAATCAAACTTCAATACTCTGGTTCGCAGGCCTGCACTCAATCCACTGGGCTACGCCAGCCAGGGTTTGTGGACACATTTTAGAGATGGGATAATAGAGTAATCTCGAGATTCCTCCCGCACTATGCTAGCAGGTAAAATAGCTTCACCACAACAGCCTGATGAGCATGTTTCAATTCTTTCAAACAATAGCTGTCATTTCCTATATCCTACGTGTCCTGAAGCAGTACTAGGTGTTGCCCTTATCCCCAATCCTTAGGACAAACCTCAAGCAAGATTGTATTGTTCCCATTTTGTCGATAAGAAAATTGCAACTCAGAGTGATTTGCTCAATGCCCTTCACTAGTCAGTAGTCGGGACGGAACCCAGGTTAGGCTGAGAGCTTCCCTCCACACCAGTGGTTTTGAATTTTGCTCCTGGGGTCACTGCGTGGACTGTCCGTCCAAGGCAGAGGCACAGTGTGCAGAGCTTGAGACCCAGTTTCAACCCGAGCAGCTCTACATTGGTCAGTTTTACATATGGGGCTTCAAGGTCAGGTCAGCTTTATTAGAGCAAAGGCTACGGAGAAGAAAAGAAGTTTGAAAGCCACTGACCTCCCATAGGCCTTTGAACTTCTCAGCTGAAGTATGACTTTTCTGGAAGGTTTTTTTTTTTTCTCAGAAACACTGCTTGTGTGATGCGTTTTCCCCAAGTTGTCTCCCCTGGCACATCCATCCTCTACTAGATTGGCAGAGTGATTTTTCTCAAATGTCATGCTACTCCTCTTGGAAAACTATGGCTCTCAGCTACCTTTAGATGAAAAATCGATGTTCCTTTTTTAGCATGACCTGGGACCCTTAGTGATGTGGACCCCCACTGACTTCTCCAGCTTTGCCATTTAATTACTCCCTAGCTTCCACCTTCTGGCCAAACAGGCTGCCTTACATTTCCTGATACGTGTTGTACCCGCCCATACACACTCCAGTGGCTCTTCCAGGGGGCCCCTTCCCCTTCTCAACTGACCATCTCCCGCTCACCCTTGCCGCAGATCGGGAATTACCTTCCTCCCTGAAAGCATTTCCGGCACCTTTCAGCCTCCGTCAGGCCCCACCCTCTGAGCAGCACCCCACCCCTCATGTTTACAAGTCACAGCCCTGCTTCTGTCTCCTTTTAGTTTTATTTTTTTTAAAGGAATGAGAGGATTTTTTTCAGATTTTATTTATTTATTTATTTATTTATTTATTTATTTATTTATTTATTTATTTCCAGAGAGAAGGCAAAGGGAGGAAGAGAGAAACATCAGTGTATGGTTGCCCCTGAAGGACCCCCACTGGGGACCTGGCCTGAAACCCAGGCATGTGCCCTGACTGGGAACTGAATTGGTGACCCTTTAGTTCGCATGTTGGCACTCAATCCACCAGCCCGGGCTCCTTTTATTTGTTATTTTTTTGAAGATTTTGTTTATTTTTAGACATAGGGGAAGGGAGGGAGAGAGGGAGAGGAACACTGATGTGAGAGAAACATCAGTCTCTGAGACAAACATCAATCAGTTGCTTGTTGCATGCCCCCGAACTGGGGACCAAACGCACAACCCAGGTGTGTGCCCTGAGTGGGAATTGAACTTGCAACCTTTCACTTTTGGGATGACACCCAACCAACTGAGCCACATCAGTCAGCGGTCTGTCTCCTTTTCTTGCCTGCATGCCACACTAGAATGCAGATTCGCATCATCTGCTTAACTCCATTTTGCTCCCCTGGAAAGTTTCTCAGGGAATTTGTACTTTCTCTCGGGGTAAGCATACCAGCCTTGCCTCGAAAAGCATACCAGAAATGCCAATGGCTTGAAGTTAGGCATGGAGAGTTTTCAGCCTGGGAGTTCATCCTCTGCAGCCAAACCTCAATCTTACATGGAGGAGGTAGGCTAGGCAATATCACATGATGAGAAAAATCTGTGGGGAAGAATAGCTGACTACTAGGAAAAAAAAAAAACTATAGAAAGCTGCTTTCAAATTTTCTAGCTGACTTGGTTTTCATTTTGGAAAGACTAAGGCGCATACTGGTCTCAGTCCCCCAAATCTGCTAACAGTTAAGATGCTTAGGTTCAAACCTTGCCTATGAAGAGGTGAATACTGTTATAAGTGCCATTTGAATGTTGGGTAAAGGCACACAACAATCTTGTCTTCAAGCCAGGAACCTGCAGACTCAGCCATGTGGCAGGAAGGCCCTAGTCCTGCCCTGGCATCCTTCACCAAGCCCAACCCACCTTGGCAGCTGTCAAGGGGGAGGTTGTGGAGCAGAAACCTCAGTCTTGCATCAGTTAGCCGATTGGCACCTATAAAATGGGCAGAAAAAGTTCAGAGGGGTTATGCCAGCTGCTGTTGCCAAATGCCAGAAAGCGAGGAACTGCTCACCCTCTCCACTTCAAACATTGGTGTTCATTAGCAAGAAGAAGTAAATGCTATATTACATTGTATAAATATTTTAAGGTGTAGTTCCTAGAGGCATGGGACAGGCCGAAAACATCAATAGGAAGGGTTTGGATAATTTCATGGATGAGAAGAATCTAATGGGTTATTAAGGGAAGGTGGGATTGTTTCAGGGCACAGAGCGGGTAATAAAAAAAGGCAAATAGGCCCACCAGAAAGCTGGACGGATGGGCTCAAAGTGGTGTTTCTGTACTCTGTGATGACTTGATTGCTCCCTGGTGCTCACGGACTGAGATGGGAGGGCGGCAGACACAAGACTCCATTGCAAGGGCTGCCCAGGCCTCCAGGGATACAGCACTATTTTAAAAATACACCGTTCTCTAAGGCAGCCCGGAGTTCTAACCTCCAACTGCTTTCCCCACCTTTCAGTTGGAGTCAGCCGCCCTTTATTCTTCTGCATTCATACTGCTTCTAAATGGGAACAATTTTCCAAACTACAACCTACATATTAAGTGTAATTAAAAAAACACAAACAAATGCTGACAATTAAAGCCCTATCTCAGAACAAAAATGCCAGTGGGGGTGTCTCATTGGGAGACTCCTGCCCTGGTGTCTCAGGGCAGGAGTCTGGGTAAATGACATGACTCGCCACAAAATATCAGAACTGTGCCTTTGGAGGCTTTCCCCTTTTACCACCCTTCTTCCCCCCTACGAACAGCTCTTCTAGGAGAACTGGATCAGACCTAGACGCTTAAGGGCCCAATAGACAAACTGCGGGTCTGAGCTTCAAGATGTAAGTAGCTCTGCCATTTGCTCTGAGAATGATGTCCACGGCCTGCCCTGGATCACTAGCTCCTGGCCATGGGTGGGGGACTTCTTCCCTGCAAATGTAGGAAACTTCCCCCTTGGAGGTTAATAAAAAAAATAGCTTAAAGGACAGCTTTGTCATGTGAAAAGAAAACAAATCGCATTTTAATGTGCTTAAGAAGTCATCAGTGATACATTTGAAAAGGTACCAGTGAGGCCCAGTTGTCTCAGGAACAGGGAACCAGGGTCGCTGCCTCTGGCGGCACTAAATGACCCATTAACGGCTAAGTCAAGCCTGCAGTTAGGCGCTTCCTTTCCATCAATGGTTTACAGTTTTAACTCATTTTTTCTAGCAAATGTTTCCTAAGAAGCCAGTACTTCTGCCAGGTAAACGGCTACTGGAAGCCTAACTTTCCTTCTACCAAGCAGGACCAAGCTCCTGCCCCTAACTCCAACTCTTCTGGGGATTGGGGTGCCAGGACAGGTTTGTCTTCGCTCTGTCTCAGTTGGGTCGGGGGCTGGTCCCCGGGTGTCCCGGTCTTTGGCTGCAGAAGACCTGAGACAGACCCGAGATAGTCCGCTCTTTGCAGACCCAGCACAGTTGGCTGCATCTGAGGCACCACCCCCTCAGTGGAACCTTGGACAGCCCCAGACCGAGGCCTTGTCATGGTGTCGCAGACCTGCGCTCAGGTCTAAGTTGTCCTCAACGGTCCTGGAAGAAGGGGAACATCTGGCGAAAAAAGCCTTGAATTTGCGCCACTCGATTGCCCGTGGAGTCCTTCTCCTTGCCGTGTAACGCCGTTTCTCTCGCCGTTGTCTCCACAGCGGTCGCGCCCACTGCGTTCACAGTCCTTCGCGGCGTCCAGGAGGCAGTGGCGCCGCTACTGTTGTTGTTGGCGTTGTTTCTCTCACTGCCTTGGTCTATCTCCCATTGCTCGGCCCCCGATAGCTCCCTTAGGGTCCAGGGCGCGTCGGGTCCCAGGTAATGACAGGCCCGGTGGCCACTGTGGTCACGGCGTGTGGGATCAGCCCCCAAGGCGCCCACCAGCACTTTGATGACCATGTGGTGGCCCTGAAGGGCCGCCAGGTGAAGGGGCGTGAGGCCGCCACTCCCTGGGGCGCTCACGTCCAGGCGCATCCCCCGGCTCTGGGCGAAGTCGTGCACCAGGATGAGCTCCTCGTGGCGCCCGTGCTTGGCCAGCCAGTGCAGCACCGAGTAGCCGGTGATCGGGTCACCCCGGAGGAGCAGTCCAGGATCGGCTTCCAGGAGCTCCCGCAGCACCTCAAAGCGGCCTTCAGCGGCAGCCAGTATCCACGCGTGTTCCCGGGGCTCTAGGCACAGCCTGCTGCTGCCCGCTGCATTCGGCCCACCCGGGGACCGCTCCTCCGCGCGCTCCTCTGACTGCCACCCGGTGGGAGTTCCCCCCTGCAGCCCCAGCAGCTCCCGCAGAGCTCCCCGCCGGCGTCCCGAGCCGGCTCCGGAGTACTTCAGCGAGCCGTGGAAGGGGAGCTCCCTGGAGGCGGCGGCGCTGCCCGAGTACCTGGCCAGGCTGCGGTAGTCCACACTTAAGGGGCGGGGCTGCGGGACGCTCCGCAGACTTTGAGCGCTCGGTGCCGGAGAGGCCTTGGTCGCAGAGATCACTGCCACTCTGGGCTCGGCCATGGTCCTGCAGCTCCACCGCCGCGGTCCGCGTTTCTAGCTTTGGAGGCCCTTCCCGGGCCCCACTAGGAGAGGAACTGGCGCTGGGGAAGGAAGCGGCTTGAGCAATTGGGCTCCAAGGGAGGGAGGGAGGGAGGGAGCAAGTGAGGGGAGGAGAGGGGAGGGAAGGAGACAGCAAAGGAGCGGAGGGAGGGCCCCGGTGCTGGCGAGGGGGGTGTGGAGGGGTGGGAGCTCCTGCTGAGTCCCAAGACGAGCTTGTCTCCCGCACACGGGATAAAGCCGCAGCCTCCTCCACCTAGGTCGCGGGCAGCCCCGCCCCAGTTGGCCAGGTGAGCTGGGCAGCCCCGCCTCCCGGCTGGCAAGGGCAGGAGTCCAGCGGGCCTGGGGAAAGGCTGCAACCGGCCCCTAACGCTGGGAGCAGACCAGCAGCAGTTCTCCGCATCCTTGCAGCTGCAGAGATGAAGAAGCTCCTGGGCGCCCCCTCCCCGGCGGGCTGAGCTCGGCTTGCCAACCTAGGTTCCTAGGCCACTCGCTCCTCGCCCCCTTCCTTCGTCTGTCCCTCTTATCTCCTCAGGAGTCTCCCTGTACTTTGTCCCCGAGCAGCCTTTGTCCCGCGCCTAGCTTTCACGGAGGCGGCCTGACTGCCCTATGTGACGCGAGTTCACCTGCTCTGCCCTTTGTGCAGCCTAGACCCTTCCCGCAGCACCCCGAGCTAGGAGCTACACGGGATTCCTGCAGAAAAACCCAAGACAGAAACCCAGGCAGATCCTCTCCAAGAAACCAAGAAGGGGTATTCCCTTGTCTCCTCTCAGGTCCTTGCTCCAACCTCTTCTCCTCTCCTTTTCAACCTCTCCCACGTTGACTTGAACAAGCAGGTGCAGGTTAATGAGTCAGTGGCCACAGAATGCCATGCCCTTTTCAGAGATGTGTTCTGCTCTCTCCCTCGGGGACCTGCTAATTTCTACAAATTCAGAACTTAAGGACTTTTAAAAGAGGAGGATATTTTATCTCTTTAGACTCCTAATACTGGCTTCCTCTTTGCTCTTTCTTTCCCTCAATAAATGATAGCTTTTGCTTTCTGCGGGTCCCACTCCCATGTTAGGAAGTTCAGTCAGAGAGAAACTGGGAGCCATAGACAATTCTTGAGGCAGAGAGGGACATAGCTATGACTAAGGTGGTATTTAGAAAATGATTATGGGAGAAGCAGAGTCAGGAAGCCAGGAGGCTGTTCCAACAGTGTAGGCCAGAGGGGATGGAGGCTCAGGCCAAGTCAGCCCACTCTACTGGGTCTAACAGTGATAGAAGGTACCAGAAGCTTTTCTGCCTTGGCCCTCAAATATTTGGGACATCCCTAAATATCTTGAGCTTTCCTTCATGACAGTCCATTCGTTTGTAACCCAGTTTTGAACATTTTCTATGCGCCAGACACTGTGGTAAATGCAACATTTTTAATCTTCACAATGACCTCAAGAGCTACATATCATTATGATCCTCACTTTGCAGAGAGGTTAGGCCACTTGCCCAAGGTCACCCAGCAGGAAGTGGCAGAGCAGGTCTGTGTGACACCAGAGTCTTTGTTCTGGCACTGACGTACTGATATTCAAGCCACGCTTATTGGCTGCAAATCACTCACACAAACCCCAAGTTTCAGCCAAAGGGATGGACCTGTCCTAACCTGAGTACATCTTAACTTTCCCTCCTCTACCTAGAATGTCCTCTCTCACAGCTTCCATCTAGCGAATTTCTTCTTCCTGTCCTTCAGGTTGGCCTCAATTTCCACCTTTTCCAGTAAAGCTGCTTCCAATGACCCCAGCCCAGAGTGATCCTTCTTCCTCACCCAATCATCTGTTTGTATTACTGCCTTGGCATCCGGCACAGACTGCCTTATGTTGTATTTCTCTCCCCTTGCTTTGACATGCCAATTAAACTCTAAACTCATTGATGACTCTGTCACAGTATACTTGTGCACCTAGTACGTGTGCAAGAAATATTTGTTATCTTGTTCTGGTTTGACAGCCTGAGAAAATGTGATTGTGTATATGTGTGGTGGGGAGCATTGTGTGTGTGTGTGTGTGTGTGTGTGTGTGTTTGGTGAGGTGCGTCTGCAGCTAGAACCTTGACACCTACCCCCATATTCCTGCCTTGGACGCCAAAAGCAAGTCATAGATTTGGTCGATTCATTAAAAAAGTAATAGCGATCAGTAGTTTATTCACTGAACTTACTAGCCAAAGCCACCTCTTGGCCTTTGCTGACTCCTCAGAGACCAGGCCCAGGCCCAGAGCGGGCCCCAAGCTTTCAGGCTTTCATTTTCAAAATGAACCCTGACTGACAAGCAGTTACTTCCGTTGCTCTGGAAACTCCCCTCCACAACCCCAAATCTGTAAACACTAAACCACACACATGCAACACACTTCCAGAATATGCAAACAGCTGCAGCAATATTTTGAAAATCGAAATGCCAACATGGAGAACGCAGGATGGAAGAATGCTTGGGCTATTAATTTTCCTCACCAGTAAGCAGGCATTTCCCTTCCCTATCAGCACTTAATAATATATCTGGTTCATAGACTGCAAAGGCAGTTGCTTGACCAGTACCACAGACCCACAACACACGTGCCCCCTTCCTTAACTCTGTTGCCAGAGACCAAAGCCACAGTGCCTTCCTAGCAACTGATTTAATCTTTTCTTGGCAAGTGCTTCCTACCCTAGGCTACCAGCTGCATACAGAGTTCCCCAGAATCCTAGCACCCATCTCTGTTTCAGTAGAGAGGGTATCTGGAATCAGATACCTGGGAGTGGGGTAGATATAAGATATTTGCACTTGAAATGGTGGTGCCTAGTGTCTTTTCCAAATGGCAGTGTCTCTAAGGTATTTAGATGTTTGTTTTCAGACCCTGGACTGTTTGAACTAGAAGAGATCTTAATGCTCCATTGGTCAGTTCTTCATTTTCCAGATGAGGTTTAATTAACTGTCAGAGAGGGTGGCAAGAAGCAGAGGAACTTAAAGCTGAAGTGTTGGGTGTACATTGAAAATCAATCTTTTTTATTAAAGATTGTATTTATTTATTTTTAGACAGAGGGGAAGGGAGGGAGAAAGAGAGGGAGAGAAACATCAATGTGCGGTTGTGTCTCACACACCCCCAAAGTGGGGGAACTGGCTTGCAACCCATGCATGTGCCCTGACTGGGAATTGAACCAGCGACCCTTTGGTTCACAGGCGCATGCACAATCCACTGAGCCACACCAGCCACAATCAGTCCTGATGAAGAGAAAGCAGCTCAGAAATCTTATTGGAAGTCAGTGAGGAATCATAATTGTTCTGCAAAAAATTAATTTACATGTAGCTTTTCAGGAACATAGTCCTGTGGGGAAAACAAAAGGCACACGTGCCTTTAGCTTTCAGTGGAGTTTGTCAATGGGACTTATGGATCCAGAAAAATCCAGGGATGAAGAAGACAAGGGCGGAATATGGGAAGTAATGAGTTTCAGGCTTTCGTATAACCTGCACTACTGGAGGGAACAGGGAACATTCTTGAAGTTCCAGATATAAAAGATAAACTTTCCTTCTTCCAAAGACCTGTGCTGACAGCATCACATGATTCTCAGTCAGAGAGCAGGCCATGAGAAGGCTTCTTTCCCACTGAGCAACGGAGTGTGTAGCTGTGAGTCTATAAGTATGTGTGTGTGTGATAGCACGTTTCAGTGTGTGTGCATGCACGCACACTGCCAGATGTCACTGTCTGTAGTTATCCTATTCTCCTTTCCAAGTGCCAAGGCTTTACATAAAAAAAAACCTTATGAAAGGTTTACCATTGTGAATATCTTTCATGTTTAATAAATACTTAAAAAATTATTTCCTAATACTTTGGAATTACCTTTTCCCCCAGTCCTTCAGTAAAGTGTGGTGTATTTTTTAGGAAAAAAAGTTTTGATCTTACTTTGGGAGCTAAGTAAGATTGCAATAATAGAGGTGGCAGGACCAAGTTGACATCTGTGAACCAAGATACCAGGGTTTCTCAAAATGATTAAGGAGAAAGGTGTGCAGGGAGCAGAAAGAAATATTCAGGCCTGACATGCCAAAGATCTGGATGCAATGGCTTAGCTAGCATCCAAGTGTGAAGCATGGGCCCTGAAGTGTGACTAGAAAATAGTTTCTATTACACATTTTATTGAGACTGCTATGAAAGAATGTCAAGTCCTGGAAAAGACCTAAAGTATTACCACATGGAGACACACGAGGGCGCTCTAAGCAACTAGAGATTGAGAACACGGGAGAGTTGGCACAGATTTCAGCATAGGAGAAAAGCCCTTGCAAACCGTTTGTTAATGTGAATTCAGGGTTTTTTGTTTGTTGGTTGGTTTTTGTTTTTTAAATTCTGTAACTTTTTAAAAAGATTTTTATTATTTATTTATTTATCTTTAGAGGGGAAGGGAAGGAGAGAGGTAGAGAAATATCAATGTATGGTTGCCTCTCGTGTGTCCCCTAATGGGAACTGGCCTGCAACTCAGGCATGTGCCCTGACTGGGAATAAGACCATGATCCTTTGGTTCGCAGGCCCAAGCTCAATCCACTGAGCTACACCAGTCAGGGCTGAATTCAGGTTTTTAACCAGGATGGGGCTGCTCACCATTGGCCCTTAGATAGATTCAAGGAAGGAGGTACTAGCATCAGGGGTTGTGGTGAGGAGGCCAGGGCGTCATCTTGAAGAGGATATGGGACTTCCGGCCAAGATGGAGGCGTAGGTGGAAACACTGTGCCTCCGTGCACAACCAAGTTTGAAGACAATAAAGTTTTAGTAACAAAAATGCAACCAAAACACAGAAAATTGAACTGTACGGAAGTCCAACAACAATAAACTATTCAGCCAGACCGGTAAGAGGGACAGAGTCAGTGGCTGGCCGAGCGGGGTCGGGCAGGAAACAGCAGTGGAACAACAGGTGCGCGGGTGGTAGTTGGCAGATCCCAGGTGTGGGGTGGCAATGGGTGGACCCAGTCGGGGCGTAAGGCAGCTGGCTGACTGCGGTCACACATTTGCGTGCAGATAAACCAGGAAAAAAAAAACGATCCATGAGACAGACTGCGTGAACCAGGGCCCCAGCGTCAGGAATTAAAGCCTAAAAGCACCAATTGAAAAAAACTTTCGGAGGTTGAGGTGCCAGGAGAAGCTCCCAGGCTCACTGAGAGTTTGTTGGAGAGACCCACAGGGTCCCGGAGGGTGCACAGGCCCACACACCCAGGAACAAGCACTAGAAGGGCCCAATTTGCTTGGGAGAAGCAGCAGAGGGCACCAAAATTCGACAGAGAGCGTGGAACTAGTGCCATTGCCCCTCTCTGACCCCGCCCCCACATATAGCGTCACAATCCGGTGACTGGGTTGCCCCACCTGGTGAACACCTAGGGCTCCATCCCTCATACCTAACAGGTGGGAACAGACCAAGACATTATGGCTCAA